GTACAGTTAGTAGTAGTAGTACAGTTAGTAGCAGTAGTACAGTAGTAGTACAGTTAGTAGCAGTAGTACAGTAGTAGTACAGTTAGTAGCAGTAGTACACTGTACAGTACAGAAATGATTTAATCTTCATTTGATTTCAAATCGTAAATCAGATCGTTGCTGTAGTAACGTACAATGTTCTGGTTTTAATCAGTTATGGAGAGCCTTGAATTCAATGGTTGGGTGTTAACTTTAGTCTATACTTTTCTGAATAGATTGTATTTTGCTTTTTATTTCTGCGTACCAGGTGCTATATTTGCTGTAATAAAATTCTATATTATCTTAATCAACAAAATAAATTCAATTTCAGAATCTCAGATACAAGTTATCATAAATTAAGCATAAAAACAAATTAAACGAGCAATAAATGAATATACAAATTAGCAAAGTATGTTTTGAAAACATATTCGGCCCTGCAATTAGGCAATGTCCATATTCTTTGCTCAATACTCATAGAAAAGCAGGGAAGGATTATAATTTATATTATAAGGGAAAATGTATTAATTTTGGCCCTTTAAAGAATGCTCATATTTAACAAAATTATTCTATTATTATTAAATCTGACAGTTTAAGAAATCCTTTATCCCGTCTTAATTCTATTATATTGGTATCTCAGATTATTAATATCTTGTGGAATTCGGAACTTTTAGACAAATTTTAATTTTAACCAGCTTTTAAGGCAAATTGAACTCTAACTGACGCATTTAAAATGCGTCAGTTTCACAATTAATACATCATAGTAATAGTTATCTAACGTATTGCACCACATCACCATAGACCATAGTAATATTTATGATATTTTCTAATTCTACTTACTTACTTTAGGTGACATTCTGTCTAATTCTAATGTATACAATAAAGGTGTCTTTATGGAAAAAATAGTAGCTTATGATATCAGAGAATAACTGACATTTCACAGGTTTTTACTTTGAGACCTTCTTTAGTATCCCATAATGGAGAGGTACTAGCGATGCTGTTACTTAATTACATCAACCAACATTCTGCCTACATATCATATATTATATTATATATAGAGTTTATAGCATCTCCTGATCTTAGAGTTCTATGAAAGCTAAAAATAATAAATAACTGCTACTTTATTTTTAATAGTCTGTGATTAAGACTTCCGAGCAGTATATCTAAAAATCAGAATATTAGAGGTTACAATGTACAATATAGAATTGGTTGTGTTTATCGAGTAATTGTTAAAGTGCCTACTGTCAGTGGGCCGTGGCCACTTATTTTGAACATTCGTGAGAAGGTCCACAACTGGTCGAACGGATTTCGAGTAACAACGAAATGCAACTAATGGAAATTATAAAGTATTCGATTTAAAAAAAGTTGATCACAATACCTTTCTATAAGCTCTCTATAATTTTATCCAAGGTTAAAACTTCCCCTTCCTTCACTGTTTCTCTCCCAGAAACAGCAACCGATCGTAATTCTAAAAGCCATTATCAGAGCTGTAACTGTTTACTTGGAGTTAAAACTGCAACATGGTCACACCCTGCTGACCTGTAGGTGGATTGTGGACCTGACGCGTTCTTGGACATTGTCCAAGTTTTAAAATATTGAAATGCAGCCACGTTGTTAGTGATCACCAGGCCATGGCAGTACTTAATGTCACATGATGCTGAACTTACTGAAAGCACAGGTGTTCGGTTATTGGTGATTGCAGCAGTTATTTAGAAATTGCAGTTATTTAGAAATTGCAGTTATTTAGAAATTACAAGTTGCAAGTAAGGAGCCGCAACCAAACTGTAACAGTGTGCCAATGATGCCGACGAGCAATGGCACACAGCGTAATAAAGATAACTTATAAATTTCGAGCTTTTAGCATAATTCTATTGTCATTTTGAGCTATTATTTACCAACCTTTAGGTCATACTTTAACAGCAGTTTAAGTATGAGGTTACACTTAAAAAGGAGTTTAAGTGGCAACTCTACAAATGTTATTCACGGAATTTTCTATTAAGTGTCACCCTTAATTTCTAAGAGTCACACTTAAAATCCCTTAAAATTGGTATTTACCAAATCGATTCATACTTATATTTGGTTCTTAATAAGAATATTTTAAAGAGCCAGTATTTTCGGCTGAGGTATAATTATTATACCCAAACCATGTTTAGTGTTCAACAGAAAGTAATTATAAAAAACGTGGTAATATTATGTTTTAGGTATTAAAATCTCATATACAAATGTTTCAGAAAGTTGAACCTTAAGCGTACAGATTTAAACTTCGGAGTGAATTGTTTTAGTATCCGATTAGTGTCTAGCAGGTTACTTCTACTTCAAATATTAATGGCATGAAATGAGACATAGGTATTATATCTTCAATGGAAAACAAGCTGTTTTGCTTGCTATAACTGGGAATGTAGCCTGTAATCATTGGAAGGCTTTAGCTTTGCCTTACACTCAGCAATGTTATCACACTTACGTAAATCATGAGATAGATCACACCACGATATCACACCACAATATCACGCCACAATATCACGCCCATGTGAAGTGTAGACAGGCTTAACCTGTCTTCATTAACCTGCGTTTAGCACACAAGTGCCAACTTCTCTCTCTCTGTTCTGCGAACTTACATAACGTCTATTGTACCAATAAAAAGTTAAGGTATTTACTTTTTTAATGAGCAAATATATCTTATTTTCAACAGTTCTTAATGTTACAGAGTTTTGTATTAACAGGAAGAGATGTAACAGAGCCAATATATTTACTGAAGACGATTTACAGACGTATTTTGAAAGCTCCTGCTTACTAAATATTTCGTATCACTTATATGTTTTTAAAAGTTTGAATAACCCCCTCCAGGCCAATACATTTAATGAGGCCATGGACCACAAGTCTCCATTAATGGCAGCCCGCTAGTAACTAGTTTTACTGCCTTAAATAGTGTTACCTTGTTAAATATTGTGGTCACGTAAAATTATATAAGTATTTACTGATACTCAGTGCTTGGTAAAGTCTGAGAATCGGCATTATATTATATGTTACTGAAAAGAAAGGATTGATTTAAGTTATTGATTAAGTTATTGAAATGTACATTATTTTGAAATTCTGCAGCATATGAGTCGGCAAATACTTTAAATTTAATTAATAATCGCAAGGCACAATCTTGAAGATAACTTACTCTTACAGTTTTAAAATTTACAATGCAATATGTCAACATCAGTCGGTGACTTAGGTAAATAACTGGGTAAGCAAATAATATAGCGAATTCGATAACAAACTATTATAGGACATAGGTAGGTCACTATAATGCTCCAATAAATTAAATAGCCTAGTAAAACATGTTTTATTTATAGCCAGTTATATCCTATTATTATCGAGCTAGTCGTTTTCTTCTAGACTCTTCTTTTACAAACTTCTGTGGAAGACTATGGAACCCTCAAGTGAAAACTTAATAAACAAGTCAGAAACAAAAGTTTATCACATTGTTTATAACATTGCTTAACATTTAGGCAAAGAAAAGGAACACTATACGGCAAAATTTAAATTTCATTGGACTGTTGGGAACAATAGATCGACTAATGGCAGACGTTGTAACATTTAAATTTGCACAACACTTGTTCTAGAACGTGACAGGATTCTGATATGATAAATGAGCTGTCCAGGATTAGGATCGTGTAAGCGTTGGTGGGATGAGGATCCAACCAGGTGCGCCCCAATGGAGCTCTAACTGCTATTCTATCTAGCTCCTGTTTGTGCCCCTGAAGTTGCACGTGGGCGGATTACCGGCTTGTGATTGGTCCGTGGAGGGGTGAGAAGAGTTCTGATTGGAGCTTGAGGGATTTTGTGGACCTTGTCACATGGAGGGTACCGTTTAGTGATCAACGTCCCTCCCCTCTGCGCAAGGCATGTCAAAATGCGCCTTCTGTTTCAGGTGCTATTGTGTCATTACATCATGTGTTATTATTAATAATCAGGTACACGATCAGAAAGTAGAATACTCAGTGGAGTTATATCTCAAAAGTGGTTTTGGTTTCAAGATTTTGGTACTGGGTTTGAGGATTTGCATTCAACGTGGTGATCATACGTGATAATGGGCCATCAAGGCTAAGGTTACTAAATCGATTTGGTTTTCATTTGAGGGTTCATTCTACCAATCCTAATTTGGACAACCCATTCATTAATTCGCTTTAATCGTTCCTTTGGACCTTTAAATATGGAGTCGGATAAAGGAAACGATTCTTAGGTTATTCACATTGAAACACTGTGTTATAAGATCAAACATGACGAATATAAGTTCATGAAACAACACGTAAGTTCCCTTATAACTGAAAATCAACATTTACTCTAACAAACCATTTATATAAAATGAGCATCATTTGAATAACAGTCAGTCATACACAGTCGCAGCGAAGTCGCAGCGAAGATATATATTTTCCCAGTTTATAGCAAAAGAAGGGTCGCCATTCTGATTACTATACATAAACTATACATATTATGCCGGCCTCTCTCCCTGACATCTCTTTCTTTGATACATCAATGATGTTACTCATCGTACCTCTGAGAATATTTATCGCATTACTGGTCATGGTAATAAAAGTTGATATATAGTTGGTTATCTTAGGCGCCTTAGGGTACGAATTTGATATATAGTTGGTTATCTTAGGCCTTAGGGTACGAATTATTATTAGTTGGCTGTTGGATAATATCCGGTTGAAAGAGACAAGGACAAATGAAACAGGAAGTTGGGAATGTAGGCAAATTTGATTTGAGCCTGAAGATGGCGTTGACGCCGAAAATTTGCTTACATTCCTAACTTCCTGTTTCATTTGTCCTTGTCTGGCTTGTCTCTTTCAACCGGATATTATCCAACTATCAGTATTTCAATCATGAGACTAATAAACAGCGGACCACTCCAAAATTTGGTACGAATTATCATCATAAAACTTGAAGAATAGATGCCATTTAACTCGAAAATTTTAGAATTTAACCAGTTTGCTTCGCAAACTTTATTTTGCGCCGTTCTCCTCAGCTGTCTTTTCCTTCTTCTTCCACGATCTTTTCACTGGTGCTTTGGCTTCCGCTGGTGCGCCTCCGAAAGCTCCCAGGTTTAGTTTACCAACTTTAGGCTTTTCTTTAACGACTTCTTTAGGCTCCTCAGCGCTAAACTGCAATGACATCATGCGTTAAGCTTGTGATTTTTGTATGTTATCGGACATCCAACTTATGGCAGATTCTAACATTTTTGTGATAAAGACAACTTCAGTATATCACTTTACTACCGACTCAGACTGACACAGTTTCCGCTACGTTCGTATATTTTGGAAAATTATATAAGAAAATGTTTATTTTCGCATCAATTGTTAGAAGGTACATACCTTAAAGGTGTCCGTGTATATAAATTACATCGCGGACAGATAGCACAATTGCAGCCTCTTACAACAGTTTACAGATATTGTGAGAAAGAAAAGATATAGCTAATTAGCTTATTAGCTAATTAAGTAATTAGCTTACCCCGTCCCACTTGAGCTTGCCGACATCCTTAGTGCTCTTTTCCTCTTCCTTAGCTCCAAAGTCTGGGATCTTTAATTTTCCAACATCTCTGAACTTCTTTTCCTCCTTGGGGAGCTCCCATTTTACTTTACCTGCGTAAGGAAAACTGTACATGAGACATGCCGTCCAGAAAAACTATTAACAATATTTTATCTCATTAACTGTTTAACTTGTAGGGTAGACAGACGCTAGACAATGTCAAGACTTGACGAAACTTAACAAGAGTGACGTTGGTACTCGTAGGTAAATCAGCAACAAATTATCTTCAAATTAGCGACAAGAGAAACGCCATTGTTGGACGTGAGGAGAGTGAGGACTCCTCAAACTACATTAAATTAATTCTCCTGTAACATCCTGAATAAATATACCAGGGAACAGTGAATCGAATATTTCTGATATAATCTAAATCACTAACCGCAACTCCATGGTTTTCCGTCCTCTGGTGGCCCAGTTCCTTTCTTTCCCTTCTCCTCTGCTTTCTTCTGGGCTTCCCTGGCCTTTCTGACATGTTCATCATCTTCCTTATCTTTGCTTTCGACTGGTTCTAAAAGGGATCGAGTTAGTGTCGGGATGATGGGATATTATGCAGGCACTGGCAGCGCATACTTCATCATCATGATTCACAAATTATATAATTTACTCATATAAGTAATTTACACGTTCATTTCTTTCAAGACAAGAATATTCGAGAAAAGTTTTAAAACGCTTACTATTATCTGCGTCTTCTGCTGAGATATGCGTAACCATTGATGCCAGGTCAACAGCCTCGGCGAATACTCCGTATTTGTAGAGGATCATTATCGTCCATGTTGGGTTGGCCTCGATTTCCCTGAACGTAAAAACTTACAATTATTGCGCTATCATTATATTATATTGGTGTTATTAATGTTGTATTACCAATATATATATCAATATTAACATACCTTACTCGGGAATATTATAGCGGGTTAATTTATGACTGGGAAAATTAATAACCGGGAAAAATATGGCGGACTTTCCCAAAACCCGCCAAATTATCCCGGTCATGTATTTACCGGTGGCCGACCTTTCAAGTTTTTTTTCAGAGGTCAACAAATTTTCAACCGAAATTTCTGTTTTTGTTACTTGTTAAAGAAGTTATTTCAATTTACAGTTACTGATATTACTCATAAATAGAAAAAAAGACACGTCTAGTATTTAAAGGAAAATAAATCTATAGCAATAATAAGTCAAATCTTCATTAAAGCGTATTCTCATTCTCATTATCGCTAATGTCCCCTCCATTATCATTATTGATATCCCCCTGCTGCTGACCGTCAAATTCGAAGTTGTATTGTTGTCTTAACAAGACTTTCATTTTGTCCGCTAATGGGGCTACTGCTCTGAAAGTCAGCCGGAGCTTAATTTCCTGCCCACCGCTTGGTATTGGGGAACGTCTTGGCTTTGCATATTCAACTGCTCCAGTAATCAATCCACCGTGGACCATGAAATAGTGGCACAGTTTACTCACTTCATGGGCAAGAAAAGTGAGAATCACGGTCCACACTGAAATCTGATTTCTATAACCAAATTGTGATTTTTATAACGAAATTATGGTAGCAACCGCCAATAAAGTTACAGCCCTCCATCCACTGCTTCAAAAGTCTTCTCTAGCACATATGAGACTTCAGGTAAACTATGATGATCACCACCCCCTTGGAACCCCATAATCTGAGTCGGCGGGTTTTTTTATGACTGGTAAAATTTCTGACCGGGAAAAAGATGGCGGAATCTTCCAAAACCCACCACTTTATCCCGGTTATAATAATCCCGAGTAAGGTATTAATATTGGTGAAGCACTGACAGGTAGGGTGGAGCGTAGTCGATATAAGAGAATACTCCGCCGTGTGATGAGAGGTATATTTGATGGAATTGCCTATAACTCCTTGGTATTTATAGTATTCATAGTTTTCAGATGCCAGGAAGACTTCAGTCAATTCTGTTCCTATTGACAAAGCGCGACTAATGTGATTGAAATGCGTTTCTTGATAATATTATTGACACAAATTGTTGTATTTTATAGACCACTCAGCCTGGCGAAAAATGTAGGTTGATCGATTTTGTTTTCTTAGAGAAAGATAATATAACGGTGTTGCCGTGTTGTGTCTTATTTAGAACTTTAGTATACACTGATAATTAATATAATATAATAATGTAATACTTTCAACACTAATATGTAACAAATAATTTGAGAACATGAATATGATGTAGTTACATTATAATGTTGAAAAGTGCCACATTATAACGTTCAAAAGTGCCTCATTATAACGTTGAAAAGTGTCTTTACCTTGCAAGAGTAGCTTCCCTTGGGATCGCAGATTGAGATACAGAATTATTAGAATTTTAAAGTCTAAACATAATAATAATTATTGCTGTTATTAGTTAATACAGCATATTAATTATTAACATATTACATTATCGCGGGTATTATGATATTATCAAGGAATCTCAAGTATGATAGATTACTGGGGACGAAATGAGAGTCTCGACTCGCTGTAAAACAAAAGACATCTTGACAATACACGATGTATTTTGTTTTACAGTGAGTGGAGAAAATCATTTTGTCCTGAGTAATCTATGATGATTGACCCACTCAGGGAGCGGAAGACGAAACATTGAATCTCAAATAATCTACAAATTACAACTTACTCAAAAATCTTGACCTGGAGTTCTGGATCCTTGATGTAGAATGTTATATAAAGCTTAAGATGCTCCTGGTCGAACTTGTCTGTGTTGAGGATTGTGACCTTGTCGTCCTTGACAATACCACGTAACAGGAACAGCTCCCCGGTTACCTGTGTGTTATATAGGGTATCGTGAATGAATTACCCCATCTCGGAATTTTCTGTGTTTAACGTCCAATATCTGACATCATGTGCCCCGAATATTAACATGTTATAAGAGTTATAAGAACGTTGTCCTTTTAAAACCTGGCACGGATGGAGATGTCAACCTCAGCGCGAATGTATAGAAATTCAAAAGAAATACACCATATTTTGCCGCTCTGGAAAAATATTTACAATGAATGGATTATGGAGTCCGGATCAGGAAATGGCGGAAATGGTAAAATAATCAATGTCAATGATTCTTCTCCACCATTTGCTGACACATGCTCCTTATCATAATATAGATCTCAACTCTAAACTCCTTATTGCCTACCGGATGGAAGTAAGCGATGACGAACTCTCTTCCACCGTCAGCCTGCGTAGCTTGGTAAACAATAGTGTAGTTAGCTCCCTCGGGCTCCGTGAACTCTTTCAGATCCCAGCGCATCCTGTGAAGGTTAATCGTGAATATTTTGCCAGCATTATGATATTGATAACGGTTCGAATCACTTCTAATTGCACTGCTAATAATACATCTACATTGTAACTTATAATCTAAATTTTGTTAAATATCTACCTAATATCATGAGCATCAACGTCATCTTCGATGAAATGAACTTTGAAGCAGATATTGTAGGAAAAGCCGGAGTCAACTAGTGGTGACGACTTCAGTTTCCACCACTTCTTGGACTACTTCTTGGACTTGAGTTTGTGCCTGGTTTTGATAGCTCAATTAAATCAATGTCATATTTGATATAAGAAGTATTATGTTTTAATATTGAAATGACATATTAAGAATATACCAGATATAAGAGTGTCGAATTAATTGTTTCTCTCTTTATTCTTAACCGCTCTAAATGTCAACAATATTTCAGGCATTCCATTCAAGTAAAGAGATTGCAAGCAGGCTGAAACGGCATCATCATATAAAAATATAGGTAGCTTTTGCTGGGTACAAGCGCGGCTTGTTGAAACGGGCTTGTTGGGCACATCACACTACCCTAGTGTCACTATGCAGTCACCACTGTACAGCTTCTAATTGCTGGGTGCCACGCTGCTAATTCTAGATGCTACTAGACTGAGATTTTAGCTACCCTGGTTTACTAAATTCCTTCTGAACACATTAAAGGAACCAAAGCAACAAATATGGCATTGCAAGGCTAGTGGATCTGCAAGGCGGCTGTGTTAATCATGTCTGAAGTCTGGTATGCAATAAGAAGTGTAAATTGTGGAACTATTTTAAGTCAACTATTTTAAGTCAAAAAGTGTGGTATCGCTCCAGTAGATATATTTGAAGAGAAGGTAGAGTCAGATGGTTTAGTTATGTGGCAAGGATGCCAAATTAGAGAATACCCACTACCCAGCACTCCGGCCAAGAAAACTTTTCAGTATACAAATTACAAGTAGTAGTAGTAGTAGAGTAGTAGAGCTTTCCAAGAAGAAGTAAGTGAGTTAAAGTGGGTACTGGGTACTAGGTACACCATGCGTTCATGCAGTCCTAAATAATTTATACTTTCGTACCTGACTCTCTTCAACTTGGGTAACCTCAACTTGGGTAACCTCAACTTGAGCAACCTCAACTTGATCAACCTCAACTTGCGCAACCTCAGGAACTTTAATCACTTTTAGTCCAACGTGATCCTGATTTCATGGCAGTCAATTTCCAAATATTTTTCATATTTGTTGGTACTTAAATGAATTTTATGTTACAAATCTATTCAAATAATATGCTATCAAAATATAGGCTGCTTACTGCTTATGCTATATACAGATTATAGCATCGGTTATGAAGTGCCATTGCTGGATACAAGCACTAATAATGAGGTGCTTTTGCTAGATTCTGGCACTTTATATTTTTAAATTCAAATGATTTTTTTTGTCAGTTGTGGCGCAATCTCACCGGTTAGAGCTGTGGAATGTTCTACAGTATCACACCGTCAGATGATCTATCACATGATCACTTGTAAAAATCAGGAATTTTATTGAAAGAGCAATTAATTACAATGTCATGAAACCAGAGTATATTGGATGAAGCAATGCCACTGTTTAATGACAGTTAAGAAAATATCAATAAAATGTAACACTAGTCACCACCAGACCGTAACTGGAATGGGAATAATTCATGCAAACTTGAAACTGCTTATATTACATGTTACACGTGGTATAGACGCTGATGCATGATACAATCACAGGCTCGTGCCTTGTTGTGCACATTACCACATTATGCACATTAACCAGTTACCTCTAAAATAAAGGTTCTGGATGCACAATGCCACGTTTCTCATTCCAAATAAGAAAATGCGAGCAGTCTTTGTTTACTTAATTCTTGAATTCTTGTAAACGTATATGGACGGAAAAATTGGCATGCGGTCCTATATATATTAGTATATTATATAGGTATATACCATGCGGTCCCATATGCTTAACATTTCTTACTACCTGACTCTCGTCGCTTTGGGGGACCTCAGGTACCTCAGGTACCTCAGGGACCTCAGGTACCGCAAGTACCTCAGGTACCTCAGGTACTTGTTCAACTTGTGCTCTGGTTTCCTGTTTTCGAGTAAAAAATGCTATTAAGAAGCAGGTTGCGGCAGCTAAGATATAAGAGTATAAGGTGCTGCACAGTTGGTTACAAGCACATATTCATTATTCAAGTTATTGAAGCAATATTGCTCTAATTGTTAACAACAGTTTAAAGTTGAAGTGAAAATCCAAGTACAAGGTAAAGATTCCAGGTTATAACCAGGTACAAGGTACAGATTCATCCTAGTCCAGGTTGTAATATGAGAATATAATATGAGAATATGCTATTGTAGACGGCTATCCTTCCAAAATAAATAAGTGCTATCACTGGATACAAGCGCAGGTTATCTCTATAAATGTTAACAAGGATTTAACTATTAGGCTAAATAGTACAGGGTACAAATTCATTATTTTAGTAATATGTTGAAGGGGATCGACGGCTATCGTATCAAAATATAAGGTGCTGATGTGTCACAAGCACAGGTTTTTGAAATGAGCTTGTTGGGCACAATACACCTCAATATGCACATTTAAAGCTTCTAATATTTGCTGAATGCATTCTTGCACATTCTATATATATTTATGTATCATCTGTAAATGCTAGGCCATATGCTGTATTCTAGATGTCCGGGCTGACCACTGCATTCCTTGAAAAGTTGGTAAGATATTACAAGAATGAAAAATTCACACTTTCAATTTCGTAGGGCTTTTTGCTATCAGTACCTGAATCTCGTCACTTTGGAGGACCTCGGTTACTTTGTTAACTTTCGCTAGGCATTCCTGATTTTAGGACAGTCAATTTCGCAATTGTATCAACTTTCATGGATGATATTTGTTGGAAATTTCAAGATAAATGTGATTTTACTAACTATCAACTTTTCATAAGAAATTTCATGAAAGGTGAAGACAGAAGTACAGTCTGACTATTCTATTTTATTTGGGTTTAACAGGCTCACTGTTATATTTAACACTTTATACTGAGTAGCACTAGCTAAACCCAAAAAACGCTGTACTGCAACGTAGGGCCTAGTAATGACTTGTACGTTCCACAAAAACACGGACTGGGTCAACCAAGCTCACTTTTATGACATCTACTGTATAGGAAGACACGCTAGATACGTGCATGCAATGTATTTCGGGACTGCATTCTAGTCGGTGTTTGAATACACGGTCCGAATATACACAGTCTTCACTGCTACTCGGCCATATTGGAAGTACTGTTAAAAGTTATGTCCTCTGCAGTGCAGAATGTAGGAATTTAGTTTAACGTTAGCGCACGGCCATGAATGAACACGAAAGTTGATTTGACGTCAGTAGGTTATTAACCTACAAATATTGGTTATTAGAGAGACTTACCACTTGGAAGGCAGACCAGCTTCCCTTGAATTCTATCATCATCTTGCCCTCAATGAACTTCATCACAAAAGCGATTGGGTCTGGAGTTACTTTTAGGTAGATTTCGCTCGGTTTACCTTCTGGAGTAGTCCTGAAGAGAAGTTAATTACAATTCAGTTAAGATACATTTACAAGTTCTTCTTGTTATGTTCATGAATATTATGCCTAAAATGTGCTCTGCTTGGCCAAGGTGAAAGATTGCCTTTCGTATATGATAATTTAATCTTTGAGTTAAATAAATCTCATCCGGAAATTAATTCAAGTTCAACTATTGTTATAGTATTAAGTTCATTAAACAACTTAAGTACTGTTAACAACACTAACACCTTATAGTTAAACCTAACAACTAACACCTAACCAGTGGCGAAACGACCGCCCCCGCTACCCCTAACCCCCCCCCCCCCCCGCCCCCCCCCCCCCCCCCCCCACCGCGGTTTTTATCCGAATTTCAGGTATTTTTAAAAGCAAAAACGCCCAATTTGTGTATTATCATTTCAAACCTAACTCCTAACACCCAGTACCTACTTATAATCCTCGACGGATATGTTAGCATTGGATGTGCTCTCCACGACACATGTCTTCTCGTCAAAAGCCAAGCTGCACTCGCTGGGAGTGGGATCAAACGCCGTCAGGGAAAACGTTAACTTCTGCATAGCCATGGTCCTGAAGTTAATGATGGATATTATGATTTTAAGAGCCCTAATCTTTGTAAAATTTATCAATCTATCATTTATTGATGGACGGACTACGAAGTCATCACAAAATAAAAGTGGATAATGTAATGGAGGTTCAACCATACGGGATTATTTATAAAACTAACATCGCGGGTTACGGTAAAAATGAAGTATAAAGCCAAGTTACCCATGCCGGTGATTCGACTGAAACTACCTAATTGAATTTTATTTTCCGGTACGGGTCTAAGAAAGCTTTTGTACTATGACTTGACCAAATTCATGCAGAAGCGTCATTAACTTAAATCCGTGAACCACGTTAATTCCATGAAACAAATTACACAAATTAAATGCACAATTGAATAATTCTGCGCCTAAGAAATTGCCAAAAATTAGCTGTGATGTCTATTTTGGCACTTCAATCTAACTGGAATGAAAAACTAATTTAACTTTGTCTTTTGAATGATAATGTGCTTCTCAGCACTATTTTACAAAATATGAAATTGTTAATCTTACCATCGAACAGCAAGCCAACCAAGCATTTCTCAAAAATTACAAGAAAGGTATATTTTTTCGAATAGAACAAAAAATCTTTACAAAGAAACCGTCCCTATAGAATGCAGATTAAAAAAGGTTCAAATCATGATCGATGTCTATGAATTTTCAAGTATGCTACTTCTATTCAATTTAGACCAATTATAACACCACTATAGTTGCCTCCGCAAACTATCTTGCAGCATCATTTTAAAAAAATACGGCATAAATCCTAAAAATATTTTAACATGCATCGGAAAATACTGCATCATTAAAAGCTTCGCGGAACAATGGAATTTATCGTTTACAGAACGAAAAAGAATGCCACCAAACTGAAAGGATTTGAAATGAATTACGGCATACGATATTTGCTTTTATGTTATCGACTGATCGGACAGCAAATACGGGTTTGGTTTGTCCTTCCTACATCAACATAAAAAGCCGTGATGAAAGGAATGGCATGTACCCTCTCCTTTTCTATCTACTTTCAATACCTTGGCTTCAACACCTCTGTTATCAGTTTTAAGATTTTCTAATACTGACGGAAACTACTAAACAAATGAAATCACTGCACAATGTGAATCGGTGATTGCTACGCCCGATTTTCACACTCGAACAACCTTACTTTCAGCACTTATAAGTACTTAACAAGCAAGACTAATTAGTGAGCAAGACATTGACAACTGCAAAATCATCACCACATGGTCACACTAATTAATTTCCAAATTATCTCTTGAAGGATTTTCTGGTTTCTCGTGAGATTCTCACGAGAAACCAGAAAACCCTTCAAGAAATGCGGAGGCGCAGCAAACGTGACAACCTCAAAGCTGTGCGTGACTGACTACATGCTTCACAGTTGAAATTCACCGTCAACACGATACAAATGCAGTTACAAAACAAGAAATGCCAGCAAGCCTGCACTAAATTCCTACTTTATCACAGTCCACCCTCCTCCCCCTCACGCGTGTACTGTACAGTATTTAGTTGACGGATCTAAAGTCTCGATCTCAACGTGACTAGGTCGAACTGCAGCGCACAGGGCAGATTTTATGTCAATAGGTTATAATCTCAGACGTAAGCCTGGGTTCCTATACAATGTGTAAAGAAACCTCGCAGTATATAAATATATTAGAGTGGAAATGTGAAGTGACAGGTGAAGTGGAGAATGTCAACACATAGATTAACCTTGTTAGGCAGAGTTTGATGTAAAAATTTAAGATACTTCGAAGCGAATACCCTAAAAGTGCTTCAAAAATTCGGCTTGCACAACAAACTAGCACAGATTGGGAAATGGTGGGTAGTACCGCTGAAGGAATTATCGGAGTTAACATAATAAAATTAGCACGTGCATTAGCGGAGAATTTCGAAACTTTAATTTCATATAATTGTTGACGGAACGCCAAACTGGTCACATATGGCTTGTGTCGGAGCAAACCCGCTAATCTAATTTGGATTTTAATGTTAAACCTCAGAAAGTTGCTTGTGTTCACGTAGAATTAGTTCACGGGTAGGTGATGTAGGTATATCTGGGGACCAATGACAACAATATGTTTGGGCTTTCTCTACCGGCAATTAAAAACTGTCGAGTTGACAGAATGGAGAATGTTGAGAAACAACGCAAACAGGGTTAAAGCTTTGACAAAAATAACCCTTCTCCAGTCACAAGTCAACAAGAGTCGATTCTGATAAATTAGGTTAACATTTCGGAAGTGAAGCTTTAGTATGTTATTCTGTTACACAGTAGACAGTGCAGAGTGGACGGTTAAATGGCTGTTGTGAATAGCTTTTGACGGCTAAAATACTTCAGCTTTATTACCAAAACATTTTTATTTTATTCCGTGCTAAATTTTAGATCATCCACCATTGGTTCATTACAGCTTAACAAATAGATAACCGAACTGAACAGTCATTGCTGGAGGCCAAAATAACTTATGATGCAAAAAATAGCACTGCAGCTTTATCGAAATCTTTCAACACCATAGTGCTAGATTTTTGTAAAATCATTAACAGCCCAAGGGTGCTGACCAGCGGGAGATCACATTGTTGATAACAGACTCTACCTAATTGTGCAATGTGACTAGAACTTTTCATCGCTAAATTGTGCATTAAAATCCTTGCACTATCACGTATCTCACTGAACAATAGTTATGGAAATTTGCACCCGTGCTGTTAGATTAAGACAGTGATGGTGCAGCTCCAGTGAACCGTATATCTTCAGACTTTAACTGTCCGCTCGAGCTTGAACGCACAATGATTTAACTGCGACTGAATGGAACGTTCATACATCTTTTCTAGGCGAGGGGAACCTTTGTAAAGTTTCTCTGACGAAAAGCTCGCGTCAAATTTCGAAATATATAGAACTGATCAAATACTTAAATTATAAGTACTAGGCTACTCTGCAATATGAAAGAATCCTAAAATACTATTGTACTGGTGTCCGTACGACGTACGACGTGCGTGTACGTGTTATTTCCGGATTTGTCCATATTATTAATTCCAGTTGTCATTGATTGACAGTCAGTGATTTCAAATTCCCTCTAAAATATGTTGTCGTAGAGCTCTAAATAGATAGATGTCAATTACGCTCATTATGGATTGTGTCTACAATATGAAAGTTTGACCAAAAATATATAGAGCTGTAATACTCTCATTATAGATTATGACTACGACATGAAAGTTTGCTACCTGTAACATTGATAATATCTTGTGGTACTAAATGCAGTGCGCAAGTTGGATACCTAGTATCTAGTTGTACTATAAATGCAATAAATCCCATTGTCATTGATTAGCATTCAGCTATTTAAGTATTTTGGATGCCCTCTAAATTCCTGCCATAGAGTGCAGAAAATAAAGTTTTCTTCCGCATTCTTTTTCTCCCGCATCCCGTTAAATGTTACGGGCTTTACTAGAATCAAGGTTTAAAGTGGAATCGGAGTGTCCACTGAAAATCTGGTGTCTACTGAACCTATAGCACTGAAAAACACGATCAACTTCATTGGCTACTCATTAGTCCAATTATGTACTATAACAACACAAGAGTATGTTCTTAACCTGCAAATCTCTAAACTTTTAATCTTGTTTCCTTGACCTAAATTAAAATCTGCATATTACCTCATAACTGGAGAGAAGGGAACTCTCATCTCCACGGGACTTGTTGCACTAAACACAAATCTTCTGTCATCTGAGCACATTTCTTTCCTCTTCTCCTTCTTCTCCTTCTTCTCCTTCTTCTCCTTCTTCTCCTTCTTCTCCTTCTTCTCCTTCTTCTCCTTCTTCTCCTTCTTCTCCTTCTTCTCCTTCTTCTCATTCATCTTCTTCAACTTCTCCATCTCCTTCCTTCTTTTTCTCTCCCGCTTCTTCACTTCATCTTTGAGAGTTCCGGCCACAAGCTTGTTCAGATGATCAGGCGAGGAGGATTTACTCTTTCTGACTGCCATGGAGCCCGCTCCCACCATACCGGACAACATTCTAAATAATGAAAAATTTTTGGAAGTACTTTCTTCCAATTACAACTTCACACATGTCTTCCTGTCCTGATTTTTGCTTTCTATTTTTTATGGACTAATGATGGTTGTTATATAGGTCAGTATTTTAAGTTTATTTTGGTGATATTTTGCCGGAAACTTGGCCGGGTAAAATATGCCAAACAAATCAGTTATTTCAACAACGGTCTATGTACGCGGTGTTTTAAAAGTGGACGATAGGTGACAACTAAGTGTTGGTTTGTGCTATGGTTTTATAAGAAATAAGAGCTACTTTAATTATTACTTATTTTTAAAGTACGTTATATTTTTACATTTTATTTCGAAATTCAAATAAATTTTACATCAATGTATTTAAATTACATTTACACAAGATCCAAATATCTACAATAAGGCAACAACATGATTATTGATTAATGAAGGTTAGGAAAATATTAGCGAAACTCAACACTACCTGCAGACTGCAGCTGGACTCTGGAGTGAGTAAAACATTATTTAAATCTATTTCTGCTAAACCAAAACACGGCGGTTAAACCATAATGACATTGGTGCATCAATCATTATATGTTTATCATTATAAACATGAACTTGATCACAAAATTAAAAAAAATCAAATTAATGTAGCACCATCAATCGAATGACATGCTTACGGTGCAGCTTTGAATGAAATAATGCATAGTTGATTAACGACACTACATTACAACATATTCCTACATGGTTTATACCATTTACACATTACATTGACCACTCAGTATAGCTCTTCCTCATACGGCAACTGCCTCTGAATACATGTTTACTGTTTAGTCTGACCTGTCTGTTTGATAACTCCTTCTCTGGAAGCCGTAATCCGGTTATTCGATTTAATCCGCGTCTGATTTTTATTGAAAAGGAGGTGTTTTGCAAATTGCATGTTGCTTTTCCGCAATATGCTAATATGGAGATGCAATTTTTCAATTAACTTTCTAGGAGAAAAGAAAGGATGGGCAGCTACTATCAGCTAGACGGGCGATGCAAACTTCTTTAAATGATGATTTATAAAATTGTAAACAGTAATTTGGCAATGATTTTAATCAAAAGGAAGGAGGAATTTAAAAATAAAAGTCAGGTTTTCTGTTTCATACATTTACTTTTTACAAAACAGCTTTTACAAAAACAGAAATAGAAAAACCATAATTCAACTTTAAGTTCAATTACCCGTGCAAGCTTACTGCAGTTCATTATAAATACTGAATTGCTGATCACAATTCTTAATTCTAGACTAAATTATACAAATTGAATCCCGTACCAAAAATCAACTTTCAAAAACATTAATCAAAAATCAAACGGTCACAGATAAGAAAGCATGTTTATCAAATAACAGGTGAGTATATTTATGGTAAAGTTGATGTATCCTTGTTTGTTCATTATAAACTGATTACAATCTTGTTCGAGAATATTTGAATTTCAGACTCCGTTTCGTGCGTGTATCTAGCTTCGTATTCTCCTGAAAGAATGTGGAACTATTATTCGTCAAGAATTGTATACATAATATTTATGGAAATGACTACGGCACCATTAAATGTCAGAATTATACATTAAATGTCAGAATTATACATATAGTTTTCGATTTACGAACATGAGTATGGCACCAGCCCAGAAAATAAATGATGAAAAATGTTTTATAACTTCTCGTCTAGCTGAGGTTTCGCGGTAATTTTCCATCTTATTAAATAGTCAACACCAGCAGCCAGCTTCTGCATGCTTTCGTGCAATATCCAAAACAGTGTTGATTGTAATGGCGTCGGTTGAAGGTTAGAGGAACTTCAAAAAGTTGGGAGCCAGATTCTAGAAAGAATCAGACTATGGTACAAATACTCACATATAATAGTCACACATTCCAACCAAATTTGTCCGTCTTGAGTGTGGGCTGGTGTTGTGTTTACATGACGACTAACGTGGTATATACAGTTGATTTGAGGCTTGGACAGTTTTCAAAGGATAATTATAAAATAATATTAATAGGATAGTGGTAAGTGGCTCTAAAAATATTGTTTTGGCTGTCATATAAATTGACTTCGTGTCATAAAGTTTAGAGCTTTTAAAGAAGCTCTGCACATGTCAACAAAACCTATAAAATATTAAAAACACCTTGAAAGAACTATCTAAGTATTTCAATCCAGACGTACTAGACAGTCCTATGTTTTTAAAGTTATAATATTAAAGCAGTTCACAACTTACATGTCAACATCTACTAACTTTAAATTTGCTAACTCTAAGGTGAATATGGAACTTCAGACTTAGGGTTTCACATCTAAAAGCTGTGATTGGGTGAATGGGATTTTGTATTTTGTGATTGGATGCTTGCCTTGGAATTCTATTGACAGGTGTTTACGGAACACGGCATGTGAAACAGCATGGGAACCCAGGTGTTGAAGATAAACCTAAGCTTTCCGAGTTTCGTATAGGCTTGTGATTTGCTCGATTGGGCGACGAAATTTAAAAAATTTGCGAACATTTTGTAAAACGTGTACGTGTACGTTTCCGTGTACGTGTACGTGTACGTGTAAGAGGCTTTTGCTAGGAAGTGCGAGGACGTAAGGTGAACTGTCTTGGGTACCTTATCGGACCTTATTTGACCGGATATTAAAATTAATGGACATAATTATGAACGGACATTTAAATAAACGATCGAAGGCATTCAAAAATCCAAATTTGTTCATCTTTTTTTGGCGTTTTTTTTGGAGGAAGCCGAAGATTAAAAAAGTGATCATGCCATAATCACCATAATGCGATACTAAGAATATATTCCAATGATATAGTTTATTGATTTTTCCAATAACAGAAATTAAAATTGACTGAAATTAAAAAGTTATCATATCCTAGATAAAACATGAGTTTGCACTGGAATAATTTTGGAAAAGAATTCAGCAGACTTTAACTGAAAGCTTTAATTTTCAAATATTCTTCTTACAACACCGAGTTAGTAAGCGACAACGCGTAAAGAAAGATCACTCGCGACAAATGACCATGATCTTTTATCAACAACATATCATTTTAATTTCACTGCCATCATGCAATGCCGAATTTACATCTGCCGCGCAAAACTTTTTATCTATTATTATTAAATAGTAATTAGCATGTTTACAAATTGCGACTTCAACCAGTTTTGCAGACCGTTAGTTATATAGTACTTTTAGTAGGGCATTTATTTTAATATATTTTATTTTACATTATTATATTTTAGTGTGACTTCTATAATTTCATTTATGTAATAACCATTGATTAATAAATTGCGGCACACGCCAACCTCCACCGTGGGGTTTCAAAACAAAACAACCAATTGTCTTCTGTTGCATAATAAGATAATATGATAGTGATATGTGATATAATGAACCAATTTATAAACTAAATAACCATCAACTATTCCTATTTACCTGCCACATCCTCAGTAACCCTACTGATCCTCATCTTGATAACCAGAGCTGAAGCAATAGGAGAGGTCTGCAGCTCTAACTTCACCCCCTTGCTCACCACCCCACCATCAGTCCTCACTAGGGACACGTTGTCTGACTTGAGTGGTGTCAGGTACTGAAGTGTACTGTAGATACCCCCTGCTATTTCAACGTTCTCTTCACCGAGCATTACTTTCTGAAGAAGGTTAGCACGTTTTATTTCAAAGCTTCTGAAATAGCAACCTCTCGTGTAAATAACCGTTTGTAGTGTTTACAAAACCCCTCCAGGACTACCCTCTAGTAAATATTATTTACTTGCATATTGATAGAAAATAAATTCTATTCGGGTATTGTTAACTAGGCATTCTATCTAATTTGATATTGGTAAGGATCAATTTTGACATGATCACAAAGTCGTCTTATTTGAAAAATGGAATCTAGAATTTTAATTTTGCACGTCGATCAAATGTGATAAAGGAGTCTCCTTGGTCCCTTCGCAAACCTTTGTTTGTGTCACTACAAACATCATGCCACCTGTCTTGCGAACCACTTGCTTCACCACCTCAGCTTCTTCTGAAAGAAAAGCAGTCGGTCAAATTACGTAATCCATTATACGCTATTAAACAATCATGCCATAGAAAACATTAATGTGGTAACTGGTAAACCACCATATTATACCAATCAACATAGTAAAATAAAGAATTTCACCAAGATAATGTCCTTATATGTCCTATCTTACTGTGTTGCTTGCAACCACAACCCCTACGAAAAATACTACATAAGCCATTTACACAACATACCATAAGACCCTATCTTCCTCATAAGATCCTCATAGTATGCGCGAGGAATGTACAGTGTGTACATTCCACCCTTCTCACTCCATCTGTACTTCACACCTTCGAAATAACCTCGTGTCTCGTACTCTTTGTACTCTTCCTTGGTTAGAGTGAGGATAGCGGTGTTTTTTGAGTCTTCTTTCATTTCGTCTTCTTCTCCTGAAATCATTACTTCTGTATAATTTAAAATCTATGAATTACTGTTACATTTTTTGTTTTATAAGCATTGTCATTAGACTGAATATTTTGAGCTGGTACAATAACTGGATAGCGCATTTTTAAATTTCTTACATGTATTATGTAAACAAAGAAGAAAAGAATCATCGCTAGTCGAAGGTTAGCATTTAGCATTAATGCGCAATTTTCAAAGGCCATTTTGTGGTCGATCACATATACTTGAAACTCCTTCGCCAATCCTTTACGACCATTCAAGATATCGCTCTTAAACGTATAACTTGCCAGGCACAAATAATACACCACCCAGGTTGTTTATGTCGAAGAAGGACTTTTGAAGAGGTATTTAACCGAAATAATTTAAAATATTCAATGTCGGACTTGAAGTCGCAATAGTCGTTTAAAGTATTTAATTTATAAGAATTTGCCAGCCTTCAGTAAACTATATTGTGTCAATAAAGATGAATATTTATTTAGGAAACATCCAATAAATCTTACTACAATCTTTCAGAAAATTAAACCCTCGTAAAAA